TCAACTCAGCACACTGCAAAGATGAATGGTTAAAAAGGAAAAAAAAAAAAGAGGACAACAATTAAAGTGATCCTGCACACAAGGCGAAAGCAGGTCCGTGTCTCCAAGGAGCAGCCTGGCCTCATTCCACGGCTTTTTGTTTTTGAGGCTTCCTCTCAGACCTGCTTGAGCAAAAATAAAGCAGTGGAGAGAAAGGGGGAGCAGGCGAGGGAGAGGGGGGCTCCAAGGCCGAGCCTGCAGGCGCGTGTTGCCAGGCTACAGAACCACCCGGCAGCGGCACAGAGTGAGCATGGCCTGGTTTGGGCTTGGCAAAGCACCGCTGGGAGAGCTGGCTGTTGGCATGGCTTCTCTTGAAAACACAGGCTCCTAGCATTGGTGTAGTATTAGTGCAGTACCAAAGGCGAGTCAGAGAGAATAACAACAGCCAGCAGTGCCATGCAGGCTTATTGCTCACCATACAGAAATGTGTCTGCCAGCAAGCAGCTCTATTGCACTGCAAGGTGAAGATTTTTCTGTTATAACTTTGCCAAACCATGAAGAGCACACCTAGCAACAAGCGAGGCTTTCCTTGTTCCTCCTACTGGACCCTGACCAAAATGCATAGATTTTGACTTGCATGGCACTGAATCATTACTTGAAGGAGCCACGAAGACCCTGCAGCAGGCATAGGGACACATCAACTGTCACACAAGCCATAGTGGCAGGGCTAAGGGGTGAGCCTAATGCTGAAGTGGTGGGAAGCAGGTGTGGCCTTGGACGGCCACCAACCAACTGGGTTTTGAGCTGGATATTAGGAAAAAGTTCTTCTCCAAAAGAGTGGTCAGGCACTGGAAAAGACTGCCCAGGGAGGTGGTGAAGTCACTGTCCCTGGATATGTTCAAGAAATGTGGAGATGTGGTACTTATAGACATGGGATAGTGGGCAATATTGGTGGTAGGTGAATGGTTGGACTAGGCAATCTTACTGGTCTTTTCCAACCTTAATGATTCTATGATTTTCTAATTCTACAACAGGCAAGAAATGAGGTACATAGCCCAACTAAACAGGACTCTGGAAAATGTGATTTATGCCTCTCTTTTGACAGAGCTGTTAGAAATATTCATTATATTTGCAATTTGGGAGAGGAAAAAGCAGTTGTTTTGGCATGTAGTTTGGAATAGAAAGTGAACTTCCAGGCAGTTCTCTGCACAGATGAAATTGGAGTCAGGTTACGGCTCTGCCGCAGAATGTCCTTTTGTTACGGAAAAACTGCTCCGCTGTGAAGTTTTCATGAGGGTCACAATGTGGCTGGAGTATAAGCTAAAAAGAAATGCCTAAGTAATTGATGGTGGACTTCAGTGAATGAGCTTAAGAAAATGCAGCACAGGGTTTTGCCATCAATGACAAGCTATTGCCATGGCAATGGGTAGCTTTGCCAGAAGCAAAGAAACAAGCAAACAACAGCAGCCCTCTTTCAGCAAAAAAGTTAGAGAGTTTGCCATTCTCACCTCACTGAAGTTTGTGCTTTTGCACCACGGACCATCTCAGAGGAGAGGATGGGATGCCTGGCTCAGGCAAGTACCACAAACCTAGCATCCTTCCCAGTAGTACTGTTGTATCATTTCCAGAGCAGGAAGACCTTTATACCCATGGGAAGGTATCAGCATTTGCTTTATAATGATTTCAGTGCTTTGGTTACTGTAATTCGGTACCATTTTCTTCTGGAAGGTGGAAGGGCTCAGCTTTAAAGTAGCTTTGTGTCACTCCTCATTGAAGTCAATCCTGTTTTCAGGTGAGACTTAGTGCCATGGGAGATTTTCTTGTGGGCAAGAACTTGGGCACACAATTAATTAATACAGAGCTTTAAAAAGAAAACAAACAAACAAACAAAAAGACTCCACATAGCTGAGGAAGCAGGAGTATACTGCCCTTCCTTCTGCAGGCATGAGAGTGTGAACTTTTTGATTCCTCACTACAAGAAAGACACTGAGGCATTGCCTGAGGAAGGGCAATGACGCTGTGAAGGGTCTGGAACACAGGGCTTAGGGGAGCAGCTGAGGGAACTGGGATGGTTCAGTCTGGAGAAGAGGCTCAGGGAAGACCTTATCACTCTCTCCAAATCTCTGAATAGAGGTTGTGGTAAGGCTGGGGTTGGCCTCTTCTCCCATGTAACAGTGATATAAGTAATGGCCTTAAGTTGTGCCAGGAGAAGTTGAGAATGGATATTAGGAAAAATTTCTTCTTGGAAAGAGTGGTGATGCTGAGGCACAGGCTGCCCAGGGAGGTGGTGGAATGACTGTCCCTGGAGGTGTTCAAGAAATGAGTAGGTTTGCAACTGAGAGCCATGGTCAATGGCCATAGTGTGGGTGGGTTGAAAATTGGACTACATGATCTTAGTGATCTTTTCCAACCTTAGTGATTCTATGATTCTATGAGGAGAGTGCTGAAACACAGGAGCTATATCCCAGCAGGGGCCTTTGGAGGAGGCCCTCTGAAAGCTTTCTGCATATTTCCGAGGATCCCGGTTCCCTCAGAGGATGCTGCCCCATCACCTGCTGTGAATTCTGTGGACCCAGAGCATTCTCTCAACTGTGGGGAGACAGATTTCAGCCGCCACCAGCAAGGAGGCATTAGCGTCGCGTCCCACCTAGTGTCCATCCTCGTTTCTTGCTGTTCTGTAGGCCCTTTGCTATTTTCCACCCATAGCATCTGAAATTTCTGCTAGGCATCCATGTCTGGCTAAAGACTTGCTGGAATAATTTCTGAGGAAGACAGACACACAAGTCTGTTGGCCTTGTGATTTCATGGCCTGCAGGAGCAGGAGCAAAGGGACAGAGCTGGGTGGCCATGTGGAATCACAGAAGTAACGAGTAGTAAAGAGAGATCTGGCTTACAGGTATCTATCTGTTTGCTGGTGAAGAGACAGCAATGAAAGAGCCAATAGTGAGCATGGCTGTGTCAAACTTTCTGCAGCGTGAGGCTGACCCTCATAGGCTTTGTGTTCTGTGCAATACAGTCAGTGCTATTGGTCTGACAGGAGACGTGTCAAGACCTATTAGAGGACTAAACTCCTCTAATAGCAATCCTATATCAGAAAAAAATAAAAACAACCCCATTTGGATTTCCAGCTATTTGGCATTCATTAGTTTTGTCCTACCATTCTTTATATAATAACACTTAGGTGCTGCTTAAGTTCCTTATAAAATATTTATTATAGTTTACCGTAAAGTCTCTGGGATGAGGGCTGTATCTTGCAGAGGATTCCTGCTGCACCTAGCACTATTTTCAACTGCAGCATCCAGGCAGTACTGCAAGCATTCATTGTATTTATCTTGACACTTTTCAAACTAAGTCCTTCCTTAACTTTGGTTATAACATAGCCAGTGTTTAAATAACACTTTTTTTTTCATCTGAAATGATCAAACAGTCACAAGCAAATGAACTTTTCAGCTGAACTTTTAACTAATGCTCGCTGTTTTGAACAATGCCTGATTCCCTATCTTTAGCCAGCTCAGAAACATGTAGCAAATAAGCAAATAAAAACTTTTTTTTTTTTTTTTTTTTCCCTTAGAAATGCAGTTCGGATCTATTTTGCATGAGAAAATATTTTGTTTAGGAATAACAGTTGTAGGCATTGTCTCATACATTGTAATATTTTCCATGTGTGGCAGCTTGCTTTTCAGTGGTACAAATATGTGCAATAAGGCTAAGGATAAAAATTAATCTATCAGCTTTTGCAGCAATGCTTTTGATAGTTTCACTTGATTTCATTTTCCAGGGAATATTGCCTTCGGTTCTGTTGCTTGCAATATGTGAAGCATAATTCTTCAAGGTTCCCGAGGTTGTAGGGATCCAGTAAGAGATGACTGATGCCCCCCCGCTCACACACATACTCCACCCCACACCCACTCACCCACCCACCAGCAAAACATAATGCTGTACTATTTTTGGCAACAGGGAGCGGGCCTCCCTGTGAAAACAGAAAGCAGTGTATTTCTCAGTTACATCACTTTGCAATCTAATGCTGTGTTGTGCTCAGTGTTTTTGTGGTGATGCAAGTCTTTCTTTTTTTTTTTTTTTTTTTTTTTTTTTCTTCCTTCAGCCGGTTGGATTTTCCCCATCTTACAGCACCTCGCAGGTCTCTTCTCTCAGCAGTACGTTGCCTGAGTGAGTGGAAACACACAGATCAGCTGCAGGTTTCTGTCTACAGAAACAGAGTGAAAGAGAAAGAAAAGGGTTGGGAAAGCAAAGACAAATATTGACCTGGACTTATAGAAAGACATCCAATGGCTGAATAAAGAACCCCTGTTCATGTTTTGGGATATTCTTTCAACTGGCTGGAACAAGAGCGGATCAAAAGAATGGGAAATGCCAGCAGACCCTTTAGAAGAATTGCTTATTTCTTATGCCTTTTATCTGTGCTTTTGCTGACTGAAGGGAAGAAACCAGTGAAGCCAAAATGTCCTGCCTGGTGTACTTGTACCAAAGATAATGCTTTATGTGAAAATGCCAGATCTATTCCTCGCAGCGTTCCGCCTGATGTTATCTCACTGTAAGGGCTGTAAGCATTTGGTTATTTAATTTATGATTTAAAATGAACTGGGATGTGTGCATATGGAAGGATGCTTGCTGCAGGGAGTACCTCCAGCATTCAGAATCATCAGCTAATGTGTTAAAATTGTGCTGCATTCTTGAATTCTGCTTTTTACATCTCTTTCATCTGTTTGTCTGTCTGTGTCTATGCACGAATACCATTTCATACCTGCTTCTATGCTGAAGGAAACCTGTAACATTTTTATTTAAAAATATATATATATATATTTTCAGTACTTGCAGAAATACATTTCTCTGTGATGACCAGATCGGTGTTATAACCATGCATATGTGAGACTTCATTAATATAAGGTTGTTTTTTCTTCTTTCCAGATCCTTTGTGAGATCTGCTTTTACTAAAATCCCAGAAGGGAGTTTTTTGCTCACACCATCTCTGCAGCTTCTGTGAGAAATATTTATATGATACAATTTTTGTTATGAAATGTATATGTACCCATAAATAATGAAATAAGGTTCTCAATATTATTTTGATGGGAAATAGGAAGAGAATGTTCGTTAGATGACAAAAAACAAGACTTTTAGTAATGTGAAAGATAGTGCATGTTTAATTTTTTCAAAGTCCATGTACTTGGTGTTTTGCAGGGATATCTGTTGTCAGTGCTACTTTGAATGATTGCGTTCTGGAGCTTTTGGTGACAGAATGTGTGCTATCTTTATAGGATTTTAATTAATATTACAGTAGGGATTTGAGCATTGCAACAACTGTTCTTCCTGTTTCTCTCCTGCAGCACCAGGGCCTGATCACAATACAGAGCTTCCCATTTGCAACTTTCATTGCCCGTGAGCTCAGAGCCCCACAGATCAGGCCCTTCTGTTCTGTGGGACAGGTCCTGGACTCCTTTTCCATGCAAAATTGCCACTGACTTCTGTGGAAGTTTAGCCACTTCAGTGGGAGTTTTGCCTTGCTAGTGTCTCATTTTGACCATTATTTATGATTTCATGTTTTTTGAAAATGCACAGAAGTAATGAAAATTTTCTTTTAATTAAAAAAAAAAACCAAAACAAGAAAACAGTTATTTTAAAATCAAAGACTGTGATACATAGAAAGAGATTGCCTTTGGACATTTAAAAATTGGTTGCATTTCTATATAGGTTTTTTACAGGTTCACAGGCTTTCCTAGAAATGTGGGCATATGATTACATAATTGCCAGCTATACAAAGGTAGAGGGGGTGTAACCTGAACTGTTTACAGTGGATGTGCCACCAGCCTGAAACATATCCAGGCTGGTCTCAGAAATCTGGTGAGAAAGGCAACTTGATGTGATCAAAATCCAAATTAGACATCTGTCCTGGGCTGACTCGGCATGCAGGCTAGATGTGGTCAGAAGTGTCGTGGTGATGGATTGGAGCCCTAATGCTGTCTCGTTAAAGTGTTGGTGCACTGATAGCTGAAGCCCTGACCCTAGCTGTACTCTGCTACCTCAAGTGGAGCTGATAAGGAGGTGCAGACATACTGTACAATTTTGGATACAGGGTAAATAGGTAAATGCAGTTACTATGGAAACCTAAATGCTTTTCCGTTGTGCTTCATTCCTGAGAATATTTTCCCAGGTGGTCACTGATCACAAAAGGGACAAATTTCACGCATCCCCTGCAATGGACCTTTCAAAGAAAAGAAAAAAAGATGCACTGGTGGAGCTTGTGTCTGAAGAGGGAGTAGGACACCATCATCGTCTCTCCTGGCTATGATGTGCCACCTACACTTAGCAATCTGCTGCCAGGCAGGCGGGGATGGGCTGGGTGGAGCAGGACAGACACATTCTGGTGGTTTTGAGTCATTATAGTGCCCGAGGGTTGTAGTCTCTGACAATGGCTTTTGGCATTTTGGTAGTGGAAATAATTTGCAAGGTCTGCCTTAGGCTTCACTGGAATGCATGTTCTCAGCCGCTGTTAATAATGCTGCAACAAAAGCTGCACTCCCAGAAAAGCTGTTTTTGTTTCCTTATGGGCTTTGACAAGTGATCTGTTAGAATGGTGCAAGCTATCCACAGACTACTTCTGCTACCTAGCAATTCTAAAAATACTGACTGCTTGTCCAGGTGTATCTCTAATGTGGGAGCCGAGCTGCTTGCAATCTTTGGGAAGGCAGAAGCAGGGCTCTACCTATGGGGCCAATACTCCAGTTTCTACGTAGGAAGGAAAAACTTCCATATTTGGCAGAAGATAGAGTAACGCAAATAAGAATATGGAAAACTATGGTTAATTAAAGGAAGTTTTAGCTTGATGTAATTATAGCTGTATTGGTAGGTTTAATTTAGCCAATGGCAAGATTTAGCAGCCTGCACATACTTTTATATAATAGTCTCTCCAGCATGCCAATCACACATTTCTGAGTGTGGAATATTCTGCTTCTATTATTCTTTACTACTGTTGTTACTGTAGTAATGGCAGTGGTCTCTGGAAAAATCATGGTCTTAATGTACTAAACGCTGCACAGCAGTCCTACATCAGGAGAGCTTTTCTTCCTGAATGGTGCAGATGGTATGATCTGTGCTCTTTGTGTGGCAACAAAAATGTGCAGCGCCTACAGAAATGAGTGAAGTGCCAGCAAAAGCGTTCCCGAAAAATAGGGGGCATCTCCCTGCTCACATCTCCAGCACTTGTAGCTGTGTCTGTCAGGCAATGTGCACAGGGTACCCTTATAAATGGATGACACTGAAGCACATGGAGAGAAGGGAGTTAAATGATAGTGTTAGGATTCACAACTGACAGCAGCACAGCTCCTGCCCTGCAGTATGGTTCTTAGCTATCATGCAGCTGCCTTTCTCCCCACCTCAGAAGTAATTTGGTGGTGATCAAACAGAGCTGGTTCTTGAGGTCAGAAAGTAGGAGAAAAGAGATTTCGTGCATCAGATAGATGTGATACAGACACTGGGGGGAGGTACAAGATGGGAGGCAAATGAGCTCACCAACTACTAGACCTATGCCATGATCCTGGCAATCTCTACTGCAGCCAAACTATTTAAAGAGATACTACCCTATTCTCATAGCATACAAGCAGGGCAGAATGCAGAAAAATAAATATTATCCAGAGAAACCGTGTCAGAAAACAGTTTCATGTAGTGAATTTACTAAACTGGTTTTCAGGTTCATGGACTTTATAAAAATACTTATTTTCTCTAAGAGAAGAATCCATTGTTACTAACAAAAAGGAAGAATTTCCTGATTGTATTTTTGTAAAAATGTAGGAACATATTTAAAGTGAAAAAAGTGCAGTCTGCAGTCGCCTAGTGAGAAAAACAAACCAACTGGAATTTATTCCTAATGCAGACTACAAAGGAAGAGATTAACTCATTCAGTGAATTAATTCATACTTGAAAATCTTGATTTCCTGAATGCCTAAGGATATCATAGTGTAAGTCTATTCATCCATCAGGTCCAACTTAATAAAATATAGATGTGCAACTAGTATTCCACTGAGGAAAAGTTCATCTTATTTGACAGTGCCTTACCATTTTAAGGGTGTGGCAGTTTTGAGCTGCATTAAAATGGGCAGATGCAAAGATGCCTGATAATCATAAATAAAGCTGGAAAAAATCAATGCTAGTCCACTCTTAAGGGCTACAAGATTACATAAAATTAAATGTGTTGCCAGTATTTTTACTGCTAGATGGATGAAAAATACATGCACCTACTGAGAGTTATCTCCATCAAGTATTGCGTGGCCTTAGAAAAGTAGTTCTGAACACTGACTGAATTAGAATAACCCTAAGAAATTTCACATTTTTTCTCAGGAAACTCTCAGTACCCTCAGGTCAAACCCGCTCACAAGTTTAACTCCTAACTAAGGATTTTTCCTACCTGTCATCTGTGTAAATTCAACTTGATGTCTGGCTTGTAGACTAGATTTTTCTTCACATTGTCATCCAAAGTAAGTATTCAATGCAATTTGGACATCTGTAGTATTTGAACATTTCAGTGTTGTCTGAGTCTGTCCTCAGTAGGTCTTGCACAATGCCATTGTTTTATTGGCATGTTAAACCCACATTTACATCCTACAGAATTCAGTGGAATTTTATCAGATAGTGCCAGTATGCAAGATGGTGAGCTGCTGGGTCCTTCCATTGCACCAGACAATACTGCAGTGTGATAGCAGTGTGTTCCTTGTGATCCTGTAGTGCTTACATAGGCAAACCATCAGTGGAAGTCTGGCCTGCTATGGATCAGTTGAACTAAATGATCTTAGTAATCTTTCCCAACCTTCATGATTCTATGAATTGCTGAACTATTTTCTAAAGCTGCTAATAACCTAATTTGTTTTACATTTCTTCACACAGGTTGTTTACGTCCAATACTTTTGATGTTATTAGTGATGACGCTTTCATGGGCCTTCCTCATCTAGAATATTTGTGAGTGGATAACATAATTTTTCCTGGCATTATTGAATAGAGTGGGTGGGCTTCCACGTTCCAGGCACTGCTTTGACCAGAATGACTTTACGACCCATTACAGGTTCATAGAGAACAACAGCATTAAGTCAATTTCAAGAAATACTTTCAGAGGACTGAAATCTTTAATTCACCTGTAAGTAAAGTGGTTGAATATATTCTTTGGTATATTTAATATAGTAACTGAACCACTGTGTTGTTTAGTATAGTATTTTGATATGTAGCTAGTCACTTTTGTTTAAGCAATACTACTGTTCATTGGATTAGACTGCTAATCTTTGTGTTTCCACCAAAGACTTCTAATCATGGTTGTGTAGATGGCTGGGACCCCAACAGCGTCCAAGCAGTGTTTGTGGTGGCAGCTTCCTTTCCTGCTTTGCACAGGGCACTGAGGCTTTCCAGCTGAGCAAGGAGGCACAGGAGAGCAGGGTGAGTCAGTCAGCTGGTTTCTGCTAAGGTGAGATAGGAGAGGAAAGCCCAGTTTGGGACGTGAAGGCAGTGATTGGCACCAAGGTGTCGTGGTGGTGAGAGCCAGAGGGGCAGTGGCAGGCCTCTTCCCATGCAACAATCTGGCCTGGGTCCAAGGCAATATTATGGCCATCCATCCACTGAGCAGTATGGTGGATCTGCCCTTAGGCTTCAGCAGAACCAGCAAACCTACAAACCTGCGCTGCACCCTGTCCCCTGCTGAACCTCGAGCAGCCTGTGATGGGAGTCTGTAATGCTCCTGGGCACCAACACCAGGGCCTGCCATTGGGCTGCCCTACCATTGTGGGCAGACCCTGCTCTCTGGGAGCTGGCACCCACAGAGGTTTTGCTCACGCTGTGCTCAGGAGGTGAAAGGCACACTGGCAACAAAAACTTTTAACTGCAGACACAAAGGTAGAAGCCTCATGCTCTCATCTATCAAGACGGTCTTTGCTCAGGCATTTGATTTCTATCTGGCATTAAGTTTATGCATTAGCAATACTTCTGTTTTTGCAAATACAGTCCTTATTGTAAGAAAACATTACAAACATGCTTAAAGAGAAGGGGGCTAAAACATGTAGGGTGCGCCTGACATGGATTTATACACAACTCTGAGCATTTGCATTCTGCAGCATTTATCTTGGGGTGCTTGTCACAGGCAGAGGCGTGGATTCTGACCTCTCGGCCCTAGCACAATTACCTCAAGGAGGGCTTTGAAAGAGGATCATTTAACTTTTTCTTTTGTATATTTAGACATAGGAGAAAGCAGAGGTTCAATCTTAAATAGTTAATGCATAAACATAATGGTTTAATTGCAATTCATCAAACCCTTTACCACATAGTGAATGTACCATAAAACATTTCCTTTTTGGTCAGCATAGACAAGACGAACAGCTGCCTCAAACTGTGGCTGCTCATGTGCATGAAGTTACTTACAGAATGGCTCTAGGTCTGAGGAAGGGAGACAAGAGAGGCATGTAAGCAGACTGTGCACATCCTATGGGAATCCATATTAGAGGTACAGGCATAATTGTAGTATCATTAAAAAGGCAGATAATAGGATGTGGCTGGTAACTGGGACTCTATCTTCGAAATATTTATGCACATGAATAACTTTATATTCACAAATGGTTCCAGTACATTATTTATTATATTCATTTACTTATTTAGTAGCTGCTACCGCCTGTGAAAAAATTGCTTTTCCACCATAGAGTAAAGCAGCATCTTCTCCACAGAGTGTGCAGTCCAAAAGTAACATCTTGTCTTGACTATGATGTTGATTTCAGGGGACACTCCAACAGTTTCATAAGAGAATAACATATGCAAAAGATAGAACCACACTTGAGGAGCCATTGTGGTTTGCATGTGGTTGCACACACAATTTTGGAACACTGATTTGTGCAGTGTGCTGCTATTGCACATGGAGAGCTACTCGTCAAGACAATGAGAATTTTGCAGAAAATAATCGCAAGGGCAGCTCCATTAACAATGGAATGTGAATAGTTTAATGTGTTTGTGGACCTACTCCCCACCCTTTGGGGGAAATTGTACTTACATATTAAGAATAATCATTGGTATCCTGAGGCATTTCTCATTTAAGAAACAGGAGAGTGTTTGTGATACATAAAGTATAATGAAAAGAAACACAGTAAACAAGCACAGAAATTAGTTCCATGGAGTTAGAGAAGAATACCAACTTTGTTCTGTTTATTCTGTTCATTTCCTTTTCACAATATAAGTTTTGCAATACAGTAAGCTATCCAAACATTTGTATTTTTATTATGCAATTATCTTTGATAATTACAGCGTGTCCTTTTTGTAAAATAGAGCCATCTACTATTTGTTATGTAACACACTTCATTTTCTGTTTAGGGTGGACTGAGGAAAAGAAAACACAGTTGTGTCTTTCAACTAATTTTAACTCAACGTTAAAACCTTACCATTAGGATAGGGAAATAATTTCTATGTTTCTATATTACACATATCATTTCAATTGCCTTTCTTTCAGAATTGCAAGTGTCTGTCCGTAACCATAACTGCATGTTTGACTCAACCCCTACTTTCTTATTATAAAGCAAATACCAAAAAAGCAGCATCTAGACAAGTTAGCGTTTTGTAACACACAAGCATGCTTTTTAACACTGGAATATAAAATGCAAAGTTTTCATCCAAAAATTGGCAAATGCATAAACCTTGTACAAATTTTTCTGTTGGTCAGATTCCTGTGGTAGCGATGAACCACTGTTATTTCCAAGGGCATTGCCCCTTTTGGTTTGATATAATCCAAGTCATAAAGAAAATATAGGGCATTTTCTTGCAAGTCAACTTAGCTTTATTCACATGAGTTATCTGGCTTTGAAAGAATTTCTTCTGAGTGTAACCTTAAGCATAAGGGAAGCACATGATCCATACACCAAAGTGTTGCAATCATATCTACTTTGAGAGCTGGGAAACTAGGGGGATCTAATGGCATCCCGCATTACTATCCTAATTGGGAAAAGTACACTGTTTTTAATGAGGCAGATAACCCATTAGGTCTAGGCCTGTTCTTCAGTTCAAACATGTGCCTAAATATCTTTGCCTGGCAAAAGAAATTGTAGTTAATAAGTAATTTTTGTATGTCTAACTAAAAATAGAAAAGGTTCTAAGAGTTACTAGCTACACATTCTAACTGGCATATTAAATTAGAATGATTTCTTTCCATTTTCATTTCTTTTCATAAGAGAAATAATTTTGCTAATCAAAAGAGACGTGAGCTGTACACTATTGAATTATTCTTTTCCTGGTGTGCCCACGGTGACATTCAGAGAACACAGACCTTTGGTGGACTTACAGAGATTTTTCCATCTGAAATATAATACATTCCTTGTTTAAACGCTGCTCGCATTTCCTCCTCACCTTACTAGCTAGAATACTCACTGCATTTAAGGGAGCTTTCCCAACATTAAAAATTGAGAATTAACACTTTTTTTGCTGGTCTCACACACACATACTTACATACACCTATTCTGGGAAAGAAATTCTTGTTGATCAGCAATTTCTTGTCTATCACTGCATCTTTCCTAAAATTATGAGCTAAGCCTAAATCCAGTACAATGAAATCTGACATTAAGATTTAACTTCCAAAAGAAAGAAAAGAAACTGGGAGGTTACAGTAATATGAACACTGTGTATTGGTATCTTCTAAGGAAAACATTAGTAGATCCAATCATGACTAATTGTTTTAAAATAATGGTGTTGGCAAAACACCAGGGGTGACTGTACTTGTTCCTCTGCTGCGTGAAGTACTGTGAATGCTATAAGGCTGCTGAAGAGTCAGAAAGCAGGAGGAGTCAGGGGGTTTTAGTGGAAGAGAGTCACAAAGTAAAAGAGCTAAATGCTGAAGAATAGTAGGGTTCTTTACCTAAAGGGAAATAAAAAAAAAAAAACCCACACAAAAACAAATAATCAACCAGAACAGTATTAATCCTTGCAAAAAATGTCTAATTTCATGTGCTAGCACTGATATTGAAGTATCTTCTTTTACAGGAGTCTCGCAAATAATAATCTCCAATCGCTTCCAAAAGACATATTCAAAGGCTTGGATTCTTTAACAAATGTGTAAGAAAGCAATTAATTAATCTATTAATTTTACAAAAAATATAAAGAGATGTTTTTAGAGGACATTCTGAGTAACCATTCAAACCAATAGCTGGTAAGGGGATCTTATTACTGGGTAGAGAATACACAGGATGGGTAGGCTTGATTTTTGGCTGGTGTTATTGATCAGTTATTTTAATTTGGAATATTTGACTAGTCATGAAGATAAGTGATGCTGTTTGTAGTTGTGTAAGGGATCTACATGTTCATTAAAATGGTGAATAAGAAGGAAACGTCCTAAGGGATGCATGAGAGAACATGACGTGAGGAGAGGGTGGAAGAGATTTAATGGAAGTGATATATCTATGTCCAAATAAGTTCTGGGAAAGCTTTCTTTTCTCACAAAAGCATAAGTGTTTTAGTAAGTGCCACATTTCATACTAAATTTAACTGAAAACAAAAGCAAAACACAAATTTGTTCGAACATGCAGCTTAGATACCAATAAAAGTACAAAATATAGATAAACAAATAAACCCTATGGTTGCTTCGCTGAAGTGTGTTCTGTTCACAACATACCAAATTGTGGTTCACCCGATTTGGGATAAGGAGAACAGAACATGCATTCTGCTCCTGGCACGAACAAGGCAAGCTGGATTCATAGTGGCAGTAGCAGGTTGTAGAGATGGTCAGTGTGTCCTACATCACTGCTTGGCATGACTGACTGTAGCCAGCTGGTGACACAGTCAAGTCCTGGCACTTACCCATTCTTGCCCATACTTTCTGAAATCTGACCGAAGACAGCTGTAAAGAACTGAACTCCTTTGCTTGTGTCTCCTAAACCTGTAAATCCAAAGGAGTGCATCCAAAAGAGATAGCAAATGCTGACTGGCTGACTGTCAGGGTGCATTAATTTCTGTTTTATCTAGAATGTTCATATTGAGAAAGCGTAATCCCAAGGAACAGCTTCCCCAAATATGGGGCAGTCAGTTTGGTAGGCCTTCGTGAAACTCCAGACTTGAGGAAATCAACAAGAACTTCCTACTGATTATCAAGTTAAGCTCTCCTTAATAGAATTAAATCTGCGTGTGTTCTGATATGTGAATTTAACTGTAGGTCAGGAAAAATTAATCCAGGAAGCCATCAACTGAGAATAAGCAAGAAAGTACGCATTTAACAGGAGCCTAGCTTGTTGTTGTCATGCAAGGAGAAAAACAGCAGCTGACTATTTATTTCCAATGCATGATTTATTTGTTCTAGAGATCTTAGAGGCAATGCATTTAATTGTGACTGCAAACTGAAATGGCTAGTGGAGTGGCTGGGCAGCACCAATGCAACTGTTGAAGATATTTACTGTGAAAGTCCACCAGAATACAAGAAGCGCAAAATCAATAGCCTCTCCTCAAAAGAATTTGATTGCATTATTACAGGTAATGTCCTTCAAATTATATACATTTGGTAAAGTCAAAGCTGTATCATTTTTATTCTAGGGTCCATTTTGCAGGAAGTCTACATGCTGGCTGGAAGTTTCACTAAAATCGCTGTGAATTGTCTGCAGGTGCAAGGCTGACACAGGAAGCACTGAGGATTTGGTACACTGCAGCTTCTACTCAGACTTTAACATGAAGGCTATGAAGAACCAGGGCACAAAATTGCACTTCTTTTAGTTGAGAAAGATTGAAAAACAGATTACAGTGCTCCTTTATCATCAGGAAAATTGGACTAGTGATTAAATACTGTAATTTGTAATAAAATGTTATCTGCTAAGCAAATGTACTTTCAGTATAGTATGGAACGAATCTCTGTAATTTTCGTATGTTTTGTGCGCTTTTGCAGAATTTGAAGTTTTTCAGTCCCTGCCATATCAATCTCTATCAGTAGATACTTTCTCATACATGAATGATGAACATGTGGTTATTGCACAGCCTTTCACTGGAAAATGCATCTTTCTTGAATGGGACCATGTAGAAGTGATGTTCAGGAATTATGACAACATTACAGGTATGAGCATTCCTCACCAAATAACACTGTAACAGCTGATTAAAAAGAAAAAAGCAACACTAACCCTGTCTTTTACTTTTCTTTTATAGGTACTTCAACTGTTGTGTGTAAACCTATAGTTATTGAGAGTCAGCTGTATGTCATTGTTGCACAGCTGTTTGGAGGCTCCCACATATATAAAAGAGATATTTTTGCTAATAAGTTCATAAAGATTCAAGATATTGAAATCCTTAAAATCAGAAAGCCCAATGACATTGAAACTTTCAGGATTGCTGAAGACTGGTATTTTGTTGTTGCAGACAGTTCAAAAGCTGGTTTCACCACTGTTTACAAATGGAATGGGAATGGATTTTATTCCCATCAGTCTCTGCATGCCTGGTACAGAGATACTGATGTGGAGTTTCTTGAAATAGCCGGCAAACCGCATTTAATTCTGTCAAGTAGTTCCCAAAGACCTGTAATATATCAATGGAACAAAGGAACAAATGAATTTGTTAAGCGTTTTGATATCCAGGATATGGAAGATGCATATGCGGTGAAACATTTCAAAGTGAAAGAGGATGTATACATTTGTTTAACAAGATTTATTGGGGACTCTAAAGTAATGAAATGGGGTGGTTCAGCATTTCTGGATTTACAAAGAATGCCATCCCGAGGGTCAATGGTATTCCAACCGCTCCAGATACGTAATTATCAATATGCCATTCTCGGAAGTGATTATTCTTTCACTCAAGTCTATTATTGGGATGCTGAGAAAGCAAAATTTGTGAAGTTTCAAGAATTAAATATACAGGCACCAAGATCTTTCATACATGTCTCCATCGATAAACGAGATTTTCTCTTTGCTTCCAGTTTTAAGGGAACTACACTGATTTATAAACATGTCAGAGTTGACTTAAGCGCATGACACTCATAAATCTGAGGTTACATCAGACTTTCTGCCGTAAGTGGACAAAATGAACTAAATGCATGATGACTCTCTTATCTTACTTCCAAATGAATGCCTTTAAAAGTTGAGATTGCTAGAACAAAGTATTACTAGTATCTTCATCTTTAATTGTCAAGTCTAGTGATGTTGGAAGTTGCATTTTTTAACAAAAAGAAATTAACTGTTCTTTGCATCCACAGTATGTAAATATGTGTGCAACTGCATCTGTTGCTATAAAGAATATTAAGATGTACTTTTCCATTTATTTATTCACCTGTTTGAAACAACTGCCAAATAAAATGTTTACATTTTGTGTCTTTCACATTCCAAATATTATTTTCAGGTGATACTTTTTATTTGTGTATATATTATACACATACAAGATAAACTGGAGAAGGTGTATTGCCCAATTCTGAGTTGTACTGCATGGAAGATGCACAGAATATCAGGTAGGTTTCGTGTTTAATTGTGTGTAAGGTTTTGATGCATATGCAGTGTAGAACTTCAATCCTACTAGCAGTCACCTGGACACATCATTGTATTTATGTGAAGCTTCACTGGTTCAAATTGGCTTCCACCTAGAAAAGTAGGATTCCATTCTATAGATCTGGCTGTAGGATGGGGCTTTGTACTGTTTACAGTTGGAAGTAACAGATTGTTGAAAAAAATTACAGAGAAATCAACAGAATAAATCTGATGTAAAGGTCTTTCTTTCTCCACCTCACACTGAAGCAGCACAGAATGAATCTCTGGAATGACATTTGGGCTGTCACTGTGCTGAAAGCTAAAAGCACAGCTTATTTTGCAGCTAGCATCATTTCTATATCTGAGCTGTGACACATCACTTGCATGAATTCTGTGTATCCTTGTCAAGTCTTTCAATTGTAATCACAATTATTTAGTTTTCACTGAATTTCTTCTTTATTGTGAACGAGGGTAGGGAAAGTGAAGTCATCTGGTAAGAGGTATGCCTGAGATTTCAGGAATTTTGAATGTGGCAAAACAAACTCCATTAGTGTAACATCTAAACCTCTAGGAAATCTGCCTATGTGTGTTAAGTTACACCGAGTCTAAGTTTGTCATAAAAATCCATCACACTCAAAGTTTAAATAGTCTTTTGTTTACATACACCCAGTGCATCACCTGTGAGAAATCAGCACTTGCTGCAGCTCAGGAAGAGAACTCAAATTCATTTTAGCTACTTTTGCACTTCACTTGAAGTTATTGAGCTTTATGCTTCAGTGCCATCTTTAAAATATACATTAAAATACCATGTATGTTTGTATTTCTAACATTTCTAGCACTACAGACATTGATTGGCCAATAAGATTTGTACTATGCTCATCAACTAGTGATGTAAGCTGATCTGGTGAGCCAGCAGGCTCCCCGTATTTATGAAGACTCTAAAATGACTATTTCAGCCTCAGTAGCTTTTCCTTTGCTGATGGTGCTGCTATGAGCAGTTGCTAGTGCTGCAGGCAAGAAAGACACATAATATGTAAGAAGCCAGTTCTAAACAGCAGGCTTCTATGATAAAGAATAGTTTTTTACATTCAGTGTTATTAGAAAAGAAAAAATCATATGTGAACAATGCTACTCTAATAAGCTAATTTTTTGTGCCTTTTTATCCGTAGCTGCTTATGCTCTGGTCAGTATTTGACTTAAAACTACTCACTGTGTATAAATCTGTGACCAGAAAGATTTAATATTGCACAGTTATAAGCACCAGCAAGTTTTTATTAGCACATAACATTTCCAAAATCCATTCTGATAATGCATCACTGGACAGTTTTCAAGTTCTTAGCTTTCACATGAGTGTGATTTTCAGCCCCAGATCAATCCAGATAATCTCTCTTATTACTTGTGAATGTCAGCTGCACAATGTTGATTGCCAGCTCAGCTTGTCCGTCTCTTCTTCAATCTACCTTGCATGGCAGAAGGATGATCTACAATACACCAGAAAGCTATGAAGTGTTCATTTTGTCTTTTGTTTTGGTCTTTTCCTCAATAACCTATTGAACTATGTGCACTGACTTTGTTCTGATTTCTCCCATTGTACTTGCCTACATGCATTCTCTATCCTCTCTATATTCTCTATCAGTTGTATAAGTAATGGCAAAATGGCTATATATATCTTTCCCGTTATGGACATACTGTGGACGTCTGGTTGAGTTTTAGTGGATTCAGATAGCCCTGCTAATCTTCTACCAACATTCACTTACAAACATAGTTTGAAATCTATGCCTTATATGTTGCCTCACAGTCCTGCTTGAGAAGGTTGGTTTCTGGAGTTGTATTTCAGACACAACCTGATACAAGCCCTATGCGATAGTATTGCTGTAGTTGTTTTCCCAAATTAACCTTTTCTGAAACTCTATTATGGATTTATGGGAATTCGCTGTTATTCCTGGGCTTAAAGGAAGAGCTGAAAATCTTGCAGGAGTATGAGCCCCTAGAATTTTACATTCAAGATACAAGGGAAACCAGCCATGGAGTTGTACAGGATGATATGGGATTTAAATATGGGATCCCATATTTATTTAGTATGTAACTATGTTATCAGTTTGGATGGTCCTTCACAAAAATTTTACCTGTGGTCAAGTGCTAATAATTCAGGAAGTCCTTAATGTCAATGTCGTTTTTGGAAGGTCAATTAATCACTGTAAAATGCTGAATCTAAATCTATTCTCTTCTGAAAATCACTCTCTACAGGCTGTTTACGTATACCGGAGTCTCACAGGGACTACAGATGATTCAGTATTGTGCAAGTATTGCATTTCATTGCACCACAAAAGGAATTGGGGTATTTTTAGAACACGGATCACGGTAGTTAATCCTTAATGTGGAAGAGTGTAAAGACTCATTAGGTGGTTCCCTGTGCTGTCTCTTCCCAGCTTCCGAGCTTGGATAGTTTAATATCTCTGAGCATAAGGCCATACCCCACCCTCGCTCTGTGCTCAGAATTCCTTCTGGTATCAGTGGGAGTCTCAAACAAAAAACTGAAATAAGACTTCTTATCATACCCTTATACTTTTTCAAAACGCTGTTTCAAAACAAGTCCCTTCCTTAGAGCACAGGTGTTACCTACAGCTGCCTGATTTTCTTCTGTGGTTGTGATGGATTTTCTAATGTTCCTCATTGTTCTGTTTATGACTAAGAGTATGTCAAGTATAAAAGTACTACAGAAGACAGTATTGAAGGTTGTTAATGGATGCTGCTGATCCTCAATACTGCTAAGTCGTGTTTATATCCAAGGAGCAATTGTTGATGAAATTGTATTGTATTCCTACAACCACTTGACTATAACTTTAAAGGAGCACAAGTATAAAAAAATGTATGCTCCTCTGCTCTGAGAGTGATGTTAAAATACATTCAGAATATCTGATTCTACACTGTGCATAGCTTTTTTTCCCTGTTGTAATGTCTAGGACTTAGGGGTCTCCATTTCTACTTATTTCCCATTAAAAAGCACATTATAACATGCACTCTCCCCCCCTACATTCACTAAGGTGAACAAAGAGAAGTAGTGACAAACTGTAGTATTTAGTAATCTCTGCAGCAACATTTTAGTTATAACTGCTCCTAGTTCTTCCATTTCAAGGGAATATTTTCCTTACCATTGAAGACACAATGCATTCCCTCTCGGTGGGGAGGGAACCCCGCTGAGGCAATCACCCCATTCTTGTGACACGCAGTAAAAGACTTATTGCCCCACATTCACGACCTTTGCTTGTGGAACAGCCTTTTGCTTTTGGCACCTCTCTGTTGCACACAGTGAATCCCAGCCGTGGAGCCACGACTGGAGAATGTGCTACCACCCACCAAAATGCCAGAGTAGAAATTAATCCAGGTTCAGCAGAAGGAAAAACCCAAACCCTCCCCTGTGGCAGAGCATGCTTTCTCTGTGGTTTGTTAATACACACTTCAAACATGTGCAGCTACCTTTCACGTGGCCGCAAGCCCTCTCCTCCCACACTTGCTCTGCAGAGTTGAGCATGGCTGTGTAGCTGTGATTCAGACTCCTGATCAAGATGGCCAAATGGGCTGTTGTGGTCAGGAACTGACCTATAGAAGTGTAGATCTTGGGGAGTTCCATCTCCGAAGACTGAGCTGCAGTGCCAGACCTGCTGCTAATGGGCAGGTTTTCTCCATTAGGTTTTGCTCTGAATTCTGACAGTGGGTGTTGGAGGCATGGGCTGTTTATGGTTTGCTTAAACAAAGTGCTCAGAGGCAAACCTATGCCACAGGAATTTGCCCAGTACGAAGACCACCAGCACGCCATATAGAAGCAGCGTTATATTTGTGCTCTGAGACTCTGAATTTCTCCAATTAGTCACACTGGTGTAGTACTTCTGTCTTCAAATTTGTTACAGCAGGGACTAATTTGCCCAAATATGCATATTCCTATTAACTCAATAGTTTATTTATTCTCCAAATAAGTTGAAGTGGACAATGGTTATCAGTATGTTACTGCCCCAATCTCCCATTCAAGAAATCAAGTTCTGGATTCTCCAAAGTTGCTTTTAACTCAGCCTTGTTTTATGTCTCCTACCAAATTATTTCAATTGGAAGAGGACTTTCTGACCTATTCACACTTCCTGCTTGAAGGCCTGGATAGCGACAGCAGTCTGTTAGCAAGTTGTCAACCTGCCCAGATGGTGAGCATCCAAGAATGCTGAAAGAGCTGAAGAATAAACAGGCCAGCCTGCTAAGAATACAGTCTCTCATTAAAAGCCATTTATGTGCAAAAGAACTGGAAGTAACAAATATCATGTCTATTTTTATTAAAAGTTCATGGGATAATCAGTGGAGTTTCAGACCAGAAAGATCCATGTTTGTATCTGGTCAAATATCAGGAATGGTAATTGGAAAATTGGCATGTAAAATGTCAGGAGAAAGTAGATAACACATGGGACAGGCTGGCTAGTGAAGTTCAGGGTCCATAAATGCAAAATGCTTTTCGTAGGAAAGAAAGGTTCACAAGCTCTAAAATTAGCAGTTAAGAAAAACAACTTGACATCATTGTGAGCAATTCAGCAAGAAACTGATCCCACCGCACAGCTATAGGAAAAAGCAAATCATGTTACATGTACAGAACAGTAAGGAGAATTCAACATTGCATGCTACAGCAAATCAGTGCTGTTGCCTTATCTGAGATACTGCATGCAGTACTAATTCACTCCTCTCAGAAATGCACTGCAGAGCTGCCAGGGACTCGGAGAAGTGTGGTGGGACTCACTGAAGCTATGGAACAGGATAACATCTGATTCTGGCAAACCCCAAGCCACAAAAGGAAACAATTTCCCTCAAAAAATAAAAATGTGACATTCA